ATTCCCTGTCAAGGGGATAATCATGACCCATGAATTTTCCATTCCATTAAATGGCCATGAATTTGCACACCATGAAAAATCTGGATATATTTCATGGCCTTTTCCTGAACACCATGAAAATCCCATAACATGTCAAATTCATGAGTCATGAGTCGTGGTTTTGGCCATGAAAATCTGGTGAATAAGGCATGAAAATCTTGTGAATTTCCCCTGAATAAATTCACAAGGTTTTTATGAGTTTTTGTTTAGTAGTGGATGCTCTCATAAAAATCGGTGCAACTTATTAATAAATAACGTAAGACCAATGTAAGAAATGAAATATGGTAAGAGCAAGGTGTTAATTTGTGAAATTGGGATTTGTCAGGATACTCTGAAAACAGCAACATCCAAGAGGCCTACTTGCCAAAAACTAGCATTTCGGGGCAAATTGTGTCTGAGATATTAGCCCAGTTATGCTCCGATAGCTCCATACAAATCCTTCTAAATTTGACTTAGGTCTAAACGTTTAGACCTAAGTCAAAGATGAGGCTACTGGCGGTGAATAACAAGTCTAACAAAGCAAACAGTGAAAACATCAGGCTTCAAAAACAGCATAGCGGTCTCATGTACTGATTAAGGATATGTAAGACATGGGTAAGGAGTCAATTACGTTGAGCATGGAATTGGCTAAAACCCAATGTTACGAGTTCGAATGTTTTGAGGATAATTATTCACTGACTATCAGCACGCGGGGATGTCCGATTAATACAAGGAAGTTTAATACCAAAGGAACATAGTCTTTACAGAGCTTTAAAACCCAGCATCCGCCAACACAAACTTGACTTGAACTTAAGTAAAACTAAACAGCCTCTGCCAATAATAACAAACTCTCACTTGAACTTCAGATCTCTTACGGCTTCCGCCAACTTGTAAAAACAGAACTTTACAAATCGAACTTCGTTACACTTGACTAAACACACCACTCCAGCTCGTGGGAAAAAACTTAGTTAGTCAAAAGACCTCGCTTGGAACTTGTATACCGTTTGACATAAGGTTTTAGAAATTTTCGACATATTTTATGATTTCAGTAAATGATGCAAATCTGCTGATTCATGCTGAAATGTAAACATGCCCTAATTAGTTATTCATGAATAATCCAAAAACGAAGAGAACGTTCGATCGCGAAAGTCACGCAACGCATTAAAGAAATTTTACAATGTAACACTCAATAAAGACAAAACGTCTTTGTGCAGCATTTTGTAACTTTAATTTCAGCATAAAACGGTTCGAAAGGAGCGCTCACTCGAAGAGAAATTTCGTGCCTCTACGCGGACATGTAATATCCTCTATTTATTCCTCGAGTAAATTAAAGACTAAACTCGAAGTGATCTCAAGATATCAAGGAGTAGTCCGGTCTCATTTTGTGAAATAGCCGAAACAAGACGAAAAGTCACGAGCTTGCGCGCCCAACCTTGTTCCGAAACTAGTGCATAATTTCATAGCTATTTTTCATATGCCGAACTGCCTTGGGTCGCAGTAGCGCAATCGGCTAATCCCTCAACTTAGGGTCTCCTCTGATCCAACGGGTCACGCAGGTGAGTCGGTTCAAACCCCGGGAAAGCCAAAATAGCAAGACGCTTTGGGAGCGTATATTTGGGTGTGGTCGTACCAGCTAAACAACTGTCATCATATCTTACCAGAGAAAATAAATGCTCTACTCTACTTGTTTGCTAAACCCCACAGCTTATACGGTATGTCCCAATCCACAACAATAATCCTGTCATTTCATTACATCTTCAATGCCGACATGCTTGGAGCCAAATTGCAACACAGGACATAAGTGGTTACAGCCCGGAGAGTAGGGTTTATTTCAGCTCCACTGATACTGACACTTTGAGGAAGATCGACTGACAGATGTGTTTTTACACCCATCACATTGTACAGTGTATTCCGGTTACTAACAAGGGCAAATAAAGTTCTTTAAGTCCAGTATCCACAAAGATTAATAAGAGAGTAACACAGCATAAACTGCTATAGGGCAGCACTGTTTACAGGGACATTGGTAACCATCAACATTTGATATACTACAATGTTCAACATTGCTTGAGGAAAGATGAGCCTCAAAGGTGGCAATATGTACACCTTTAAGTTCATATATATATAAATATATATATATATATATAGATTTGCAGAGTTGGATTATTTGGTCGAAGACATTTATTGCTACTCAGAGTTTCATGCTCCTTGCGGAGCAATCATCAGGCAACTGCTAAAAATAACGGATACATATGAAGATATACAAAATTTGAAAATACAGAACAATGCGTAGTGGCGTGACATGCAGAAATATGATTGGTTGCTAAGCGAATACGTTCTTCAAGAGGAATTTCTTGGAATGTCTACAATTGGATATCAGTTCGCTTCTGTTGTTCAGGGTTGACATTTCGGGTTTACAGACAATAAAATATTTTCCCCATAAGCATAAGTTACATCTCTTGCTTATACTAGAATATGATCGGGCCTGTTTTACCTTTCGCCATTTGATGTTGTACGGAATACCCTTATCTTTAAGACTCCAAATATATTTACTTAATTCACGATCAGTTGCATGCTTATACCGCTCGTTCTTAAATGAGCACACATGGTTTCTGTATCTCAACTTGAAGGTTGTATCGCAAAGACCAATGTATGTCTCTCTTGACGATGGTGTCGTGACTTCGGCTTGGTAGATCATGTTTTGATCGTTGCATTTACCGTCCATGGGGCACGTGCTTGAGTTCCGGCAGTTACAATTGCTGTCATCGGTGGTGTCATTAATAGGATCAGATTTGTTAATTTGAGCTTTGTTGTGGTTGGATATAATGGTTTTGACATTTGGCATAAAACTGTAGCTTAATTTAAGCGTGTTCCTATTGAAAATTCTTTGAAGTGGGGGTGATTTAGGGAAGTGTTGATCAATGAGAGAAAGGAAGCACTTTCCTACATTCGTTTTAACATTTTTGCTAAAAGGTGGATTGTACCAAAGAATGTTTCTTGGTCGGTTCTTCCGTGACTGCTGTTTCTCGTTACGTGACTCATTGTAAGACAGGTTGTAATTGTAACCGCTTTTATTGAGGGCTTCTTGATACACGGCTTTGCTGTTGTCAAAGCATTGTCGGTCCGATGATATTTCTGAAAGTCGTTTATTGATGGCATCTGGGATGTTTTTCAGGATAGATGGCGGATGGTTGGATTTCTTGTGCACGTACAATGGGAGGTTACCTTCCTTTGTGTATGGAAAGTGTTTGCCGGCCTGCAGGTCAAGCGTGACGTCTAGAAAATTTACAATGGATTTGTTTGCTAAATCACACCCACTTCAAAGAATTTTCAATAGGAACACGCTTAAATTAAGCTACAGTTGTATGCCAAATGTCAAAACCATTATATCCAACCACAACAAAGCTCAAATTAACAAATCTGATCCTATTAATGACACCACCGATGACAGCAATTGTAACTGCCGGAACTCAAGCACGTGCCCCATGGACGGTAAATGCAACGATCAAAACATGATCTACCAAGCCGAAGTCACGACACCATCGTCAAGAGAGACATACATTGGTCTTTGCGATACAACCTTCAAGTTGAGATACAGAAACCATGTGTGCTCATTTAAGAACGAGCGGTATAAGCATGCAACTGATCGTGAATTAAGTAAATATATTTGGAGTCTTAAAGATAAGGGTATTCCGTACAACATCAAATGGCGAAAGGTAAAACAGGCCCGATCATATTCTAGTATAAGCAAGAGATGTAACTTATGCTTATGGGAAAAATATTTTATTATCTGTAAACCCGAAATGTCAACCCTGAACAACAGAAGCGAACTGATATCCAATTGTAGACATTCTAAGAAATTCCTCTTGAAGAACGTATTCGCTTAGCAACCAATCATATTTCTGCATGTCACGCCACTACGCATTGTTCTGTATTTTCAAATTTTGTATATCTTCATATGTACCCGTTATTTTTAGCAGTTGCCTGATGATTGCTCCGCAAGGAGCATGAAACTCTGAGTAGCAATAAATGTCTTCGACCAAATAATCCAACTCTGCAAATCTACACATCGCTCTAGTTTACCTATTGAGCACTTAAATAGCTGATGAAATCTTCAATTCATTATATTACTATATATATAAATGAACACAAGTGAAACTCTAAAAATTGCCTTCAACGGGATTTGAACCCGCGTCCTCGACTTTCTAGTGCCGATGTGTTAACCACTAAACCACCAAGACAACCACGCTAACGCGCAGTCGAATTGAAGGCTTTATGGCTCACGGGACTCCCCAAACAATTTTCTAGAGTTCACAGAGGCCACTGGAAGGTGCTAACACCTTTTTAATACTATACATAACACAAATGAACTGAAACCAGTGAAAGAAAGAAATAAATGAACACAAGTGAAACTCTAGAGTTTCACTTGTGTTCATTTATTTCTTTCTTTCACTGGTTTCAGTTCATTTGTGTTATGTACTATATATATATATATATATATATATATATATATATATATATCCTCATTCCTATGTAGAGTCTGAAAATATTGTACTAATTTATGAATGGATGGTATTTCTAACAATACACATGTCTCTCGACTATGACTGTTATGATACCTATTTCTAGCATGAGAATCAAATACTTTATATCCCCCAGCCTCAATGCTGTAGATACCAACACCAATAATTGCCGCCGTTAAAATGAATGAGTTGTAGTTCAGTGCCAAGAGTGTTTCAAATGCTGTACCCTGTGAGCGGCATATACAGTAGTGATGCCTCTCAATTCTGGGATCACCATGGATGTTACAAGTATAACTGTCACTGCATTCAAGGTGGAAAAATTGCTCAAACACTGTAACCATTCCTAGCAATCCTGTTAACATTAACATAGATTGTCTTGCAAGCAGTGACAGACTAGAATATAATTGAATACCAACAATCATTATTTGAGTCATATCATCAACTGAAGTAATCTTTGTTATCTTACTGTAAATTAAAGCGCACAGACTCATTGCGACACATTGTTGTCCAGCATTTTCCCCAAATACTGTAAACATTTCCTTGACAGTATGGAGCATGAATTGTTTTTGTAGCATCTATATAAACTGAAGGTCCTGGATTCTTCTCGATATCAGTACAAAGCTTAAATTGGCCAAAATTAACCCGATGATTCAAACTGTTGTAAGCACTATAAAATGGATAATTGCATGTACAGAGAGGCAAATTCTTACTTAAAAGCCTATTTGGATATCTCATTCCACCTAAATGGCCTGTGCTTTGATGCTTAGACGACAGATACACCTTCCCTCGTTTACGAACTAGTTTTGGAGTTGTCCTTTAAGTAAAAACCTCACACTGTTACAGTTACTTCCGTACCTGTTTAAATGTAAACCTTTTCTATTTTTAACGTGACAATGGTGTATTTTTCCGAATACCCTTCCATACAAAAAGCCTCACATTCCGTGTTTTCTGTAACAAAGATTTTAATTTCTTTATCGGTAGTCTGCTAGGTGCAAGATCGCGTCGAGAAAAATTACTAACCTTGTTTAAACCAATGGAATTGTATGTTCTGATATAAACAAATTTTCCACGACGAGATCTCAATTCAACTTCTTTTATTTCATCCACAACACAGTTTTCCTTCTGTACAACTAGCTCATTACCTTCTCTTGTCGTCACTTCGCTGCCATCAAAACACACTAACACAAAACTTGCTAATAATGCAAAATCCCGACACACAGCATCGTACATGTAACGCGTCGCAATATACACAATTAGATGGAAAAACACAACACGCAATACAAAAACAAGCACATTAACCGTCACCCTGCTAAACAAAATTGAAATAATAAAAAGAATTGTTACAGTTATCACAGTAGTTCCAAAACAGAAGCCTCAGTCCCTTTTGGTTTCAATTGATGACAATCGTCTCTTCCTTCATCGGAACATATTTTTATCACAGGCAACTCGTTTTGTTCCGCAATGCAAAAATCAAAATCACCATTGTCACACTGATAACCAGCTACACAAATCTTGCAACTCTCAAACTTGTTAAACATTCCTCTGTTCAAACTCTTATCCATTTTACACGTACACTCCTGATATACCGATTTGTCATTGCGTCTATGGGGTCCATGAGTCTTTGATGTCATTGAATGTCTTGATAATTTCCTTTGTTTTTCTTTGAGTTCGCGGACCAGCCCATTCCGAAACACTCAGTGTTATTTTTTAGTGTGGGCCTACAGCGAACAGTGTGTGCATTTGTAAGTTTAACTCGGGATAACATAATTGAACAATATATTAACACGTTCCTCGAAACGCCTCGGCCAAATGTTATCCAAACTGCTTCTTACTGCTGCTTCGAAAAATTTCGGATCGAACGACACCCAAACCGTCCCTCATTGGATTATCCACTCGACCTAACAAAATCGACCAATCACAAAATAAGGAAAAGAAAATGGACATAAAATAGACAAAACAGCAAATTCACATGACCTCTTAGGAAACATGCACTTAAAACTGTCTTTCTATGATTGATGCATTTCGATCCTCTCGTCAAAAAAATGTCAGACGCCAATCATCTTAGCGAACCTCTTAGGAAACGAAAGTTTACTTCAACGGGTTCAAAACGTTATTGTTTGTGATTTGTGATTGGTTTTGTGAGTTTCTGTGTTTCAAGGTTCGTTGCTTGTGATCTTATTGTGACCAAAACCCGACGTTAATATTCCAAAAATTTTTGATAGATTTCATCCCTGGACTTCAGACTTCCAAATTTCGATGAGGTAAAAATACTGAAGCTTCAGATTAATTTTGAGATCGTAAAAGTGCGATAAAGTGCCGTGCTAGCAGAGCTTTCTTTCCCACATGCCTCTTACCTTGTACAAAACGTTCGCATGGCAGACATTCGCCTCGCTTCGCTTGTTTACTTGCCTTGTTTACGTTAGCACGTATTGCGTGCCTATTGCACATTTGCGTCAAAACAAGCCGTTTCCATTACTCTATTCTCTTACGCCCAAATAATAATTCTTTCTTCCTCGAAAAAGTTAAAGAATAAATCAAAGAAATCGAAGTGATCTCGAGATATCTCGAACTAATTCGGCTCTCACTTCGTCAAATATCCGAATAAAACCGACAACCTACAGCCTATGCGTGCCCAATCTTGTCCCAAAAAGGTCATATAAGGTCATATAAGACTTGCGACTTTTCGCAATTTTTGCAAATTTTGTTAAATCAACAACTCGCTGCCGGACTCCAGAGATTATTAACATGACAAGGAACTATGAAAAATCGCAGCTAACGAGAAAAATCGTCAGAGTTGCGATTTTTCGCAACACACGAATGGATGCAATTTGAATTGTTCTTTTGAATTTTTCAGTTTTAATAAGTAATGCTTTTTATGTTATTGATGAACCACGAACGTGGCTTCAATATACACCTCTGAACGTCCTTCAATTAAAACTGCTAAGGCAATGGTCTCATAATACCAACTTAATTGTACATAACTCTTAGTAACCTGCAATCAGGGCAGAATTTTATCGCCGCTCTCACAGCAGTTATCTTGGCTGGTCAATATAGTTCTGTGTTGCCCTCCCAGATTTTGCTTACTCGGCAAAACGAAAATAGTGCCTGATCGCAAGTTTTGCTGATTTATACTGTATTTTCCAGCCAAATCTTCCCTGATGTAAACTTACCATCTCCAAGGAACACCAGAAAAAGTATCGGTGCAACCATTAAGAGCTTCATATTAATCTTACAATCTGACGACACCATAGATAGTTTAGTATGACGTTTGTTCGTGTTGGCAACACAATTGCCATAAGTTATGATCAAAATTTGATTAAATGATTGATAGATGCGATCAGCCTGAACTTCATTGTCGTTAATGTATTCAGTGACAGTGAAACATAGATCACGTAGAGATTTGGCAAATCTGACTAGTCAACACACAACATATGGAAAGTTGAGAGAAAGGAAACAATCATCCACACACTTAAAAACCTTCCTCCTCTAGCCCTTTCGACACCTGCTCAACACGCTACCTTTGAAATCGTTCTATATTGGGGTGTGTTCTTTCTAAATATGTAGTTGCGTGGAGTAGCCTCACTTTTCGCTTAACTAAAACGACCTTTACCTTTTACATAGCTTGTGTCTTGCCATCTCTAAGGAAATTATAATTTGTAATGCATCATTGAACGAGACTAATGCTTTTATAAATTCCGCAACTGGAAGAGATTATGCTTGCCGATGAACAAGCAAACCGAGGTTTATACTATGATACATATGAGCTGCGAACTAAAAGTTTTCACCAATGGAGTTCAAGTGAAAATCAATGCCTTCTTTAAAAAACGAATGTGTAATTAGAATGTTATTTACAAACGACGCACTGACGTAAATATGTAAAAGATTATAAAGCTGAATAATGCAACACTCAATTATATGAAAATACGCAACACATTTGGTATTTAGCAAGGTATGCAAAAATCACTGGGGAGACACTGAAGGCCCCATCACAATAATAACGACCCCTTAAAATATATATAATATTTAATTGTTTAGCTAGTTTGTTAGTTAGTTGGGTAAGTTTAATATCTGGTAAATTTTGTTAAACCTTGCCAATCTTTAAAGGTTTATTTTTTCTAATAACTAATAATAGCTCTTGTTTTTAGCTGCGAACGTGTTTCCTAATTTATAAAGGCAAACTTTGTCAAGGTAATTATGGCTGCGTGATGTAATTTTTTTTTTTTGAAAATGGCCTTGTAGGTCAAGCGAAAAACCTTCGCCATGCGTGCGTGCACACTGTGTCTAAAACACGAAAACAACAAGCAATAATTATACTTATCAAATGAAATACAGAAAGGACCTGTGAGTAAGAGCATGGCTTTTAAGTTCTGTTAGGCTAAAATTTGCCAGTCAGGCCACCTCTATAGGCGAATCTTTGCTGACGTCATTGTTTACATTTTTCCTCATTAGCATACTACTTAACTCAAAGAAGCCGTGGCCGTATATACGCACTAAACTCAAAAGTTGAAAGAGCTGATTAACTTAAACAATTTGCGCAATTTTTAGCTTATTAAAAGCAATATTGAAGTAAATATCAGCCATCTAAGACTGCGGCATTGCTGGGTGGCATACAAGTTAATGAGCCATACATTCTTCGTAAAATTTCGAGTTTTTAAAAGAGCATTTCTCCGAAAACATTCGGTATTTCGGGCTCAGATTTTCAGACTAAACTGAAATTGTTATGCTTTTTCAATATTCAGGGGTTTTATTTTATTAGCTTCATCAGATAATTATGAGCATAATGTTAATGAGGCAGAAAATGTAAACAAAGATTTGCCTATACAAGAACCCGTTTAACCTAAAATTAGAAACAGATTCCTATGTTTTAAAATCTGTACAAAAAATTCTTTACTCTAGGGCAAATAAGATATTAGTCAACAATCAGGATCCTCTTTGGAGACACAGGTGCCTTTATCACTCCAACTGCCATGATATGGTATGCAGATTTTATCCAATGATTAATATATTTATGCAAGCTTTTTGTTTTTGTTCTTAGGAATTAACTAATAACTTATTTACGAAACTTAATAGCCTACATTTGGGCAGATTACCATTCATGTAAGAACCTGTTTAGGTTAACTTAGGAAATTGCCGGTTCGTACGCGCATGTTTTTACTGTATTGTCGAGGTTTTAGATTGGAACTCGAATCGAAGGAAACCCGCTATTGAATTTAACCGCCACTACATTACATAAAAACGCACTACATTACATAAAAAATGTGGCGTAGAGTAAAAGCTTAAAACTTATATTGAGGTGCGCCTCAATTGAAGACAAGGAAACATATACGGCACGAAACTGTATGGTCGGAGAGCAAGTTAGAGTGATTTTACTTGAACCGTGAAACAGATGCTAACAAATAGTGAAAACTAACCACGAATAAACAAAAGAAGACAATGGAATTAGTGCATAATAGTGCCTAGTATTTTACTACCTATTTCACGAAGTCAAGTGAAATCACTCTATAACGGCAGACTCAAATTTCTTTGATACAGTTGTAAAAAAAAAAAAACAACAAATGTTACTGATAACCTTGAGTACATATTGCTCAAGTTATAAAATTCATTAGTTATTCATCGAAACTATAATGGCCAATCAATAGATAGTATTTGAGTCACATGTGCATGCACCTCTAGCTGTAAAACTCCATACAAATTAACTGGGATGATTAAATACTAAACAGTAGAATTAAACCTTTTATGCAAACTCCTACCCAGCGAAACAATATTCACTAACTTTTGATGCAGATCTCTTCTGTGTGACTGTTTTAATTCAACGAAATTTATGGATCGATCCGACACCGATCTGGGATTTACAATGGCTCACCAACTTCAGCTCGCCATTGTAAACTCCTGCTTCATCATGTCTTATCTAAAATACTTAAGAGGCAGTCTCCCTAAAAGCGTTCCACTCGATTTTGGACTCGAAAAAACTTTTGCCTTATATTCTTATCATCAACACTACTATCCATCCTAATAACGAAACTGCAGTTAGAATGAGGAAATTGTTTATTTTACTGCCATTCCCAGCATTTCATTGCTGGACGACCGTTAGCGGCTAAAATATGCAAATTTTAGGTGCCGTTTTACAGGTTTTTTAACGATCGTTTAAAAGTACTTCGGGTCATCAAATCCTAAACTGTTCGCACTCATTTGGAAGCATATTACTTCTTCTTACTGTTCCAATACCATTTAGGCATTATCTTTCTGTAATCAGCAAAAACTGGTCGTCTTTATTTCACTAACCCAATTAAGAAAGCAAGATGCACGAATAAATGCCTCAAAAACATCACAAAATTCTCAAAAGTGGCACCTAAACTAGACCTAAAAACATGTTTTAGTTAAAGATTAAGAGCTATTTTGTCAAGTTATGAAATAAAACTTGTGGCACAACGCGATTCAGAATTGAAGGATTCGACTTAAATTTGCATATTGATGCTGAATTCGCATTGCGTGACACCGGCCGCTGTGATAGTAAGAAAATTCTTCATGATCCTACAAATGACAACTTTTCTGTTTTTTTTTTTTTACTTTATCAACAAGAAAAAGCGGAAATAGGTTAAGCTTATAGAAGATTAAGTTTACTTTTCCACTGACCTTCGTATTAATAGTCTCGGCCGGCCGTCCTTTGTTCGACTCCCAGTAGTTGGCCTTCTTATTAGTAGAGTGGGTCGGGAAAAATATGCATTTCTCCCTACCCTACCCCCTCGCCCTTTTCTTACTGGCATCCCTCGGAGGGTCGCCCCCACAGTCTGAACGCCTGGAAGAGGCTATTCGACATACTTCAATCGCGTTCTAACGAACATTTTTGTTTTACAGATAACATATATTAACGAGAACAATGTTTCTCCTGTCTAGTGACAGGTGGAAGTATTTACATTTTGCAGCGAGAAGGTCGTTCACACATTTACCTTTACACTATATATATGGGACGATGGTACACGGTAGTCCTTGAAGAAAAATTAAGAAAATATGGACTGGAGTTCAAAGAAGTAGAATGAACAACCTGCTAATTACGTCTACGCCACAATAAGTCTCGTACTTATAAATTCTTATCAAGTAAATTGTTATTTGCCCTTAAAAAAATGACATCAGCTGAGAAATGTACATTGAATTAAGTTAGTGTCCGGACACCTTTAGGAATTTGATATTAGTATAAATTCTAGGATGTATAAATCTACCGGCCTTCGATCACAAATCTGACTGTCTATGTACAGTGCTAGTGCTATGCTGGTAATGCTGTACGCTATCAATTCCGTGATGGACAGTGAGTGAAGTGACTGAGTAGCCTGACAGTGTTCGGTTGTAACCTGTTTATACCACCACTGAATAAAACCGTTAGCCTGTCAAGTTGTTAAGCTTTGAACGACTAGGGGGTTTATATTTGACTATTTTAGGGAAATTTGTACCAG